ATTAAGATCAATATGAATGCATTTGGGGAATTAACAGAGGTATTGAGGGAATTTACGATTACTGTATATAATTTGCCATAAAATGAGAAAAAACTAGAAAAAATAGAAAAAAGGGGGAGCGAATTCCAAACTATTATTGTTATTTGTTTGTGCAATATACAAACATACAAAAATATCAATGACAACCTGCCAACAATCGGTATGGTAACAAATAAACAAGTGGAAGTGCTATTAAATATAGTAAAATTAAATAAATTATATGAATCAATTATTTTCTCGAGCAATCAGAACAGGTGCTGGCGCATTGCGTTATTTTCGTTAAACTTACTACAGTATCAAAAAGTAAAAAATTTTTTTTCATAAAATTAATAAAAAATTTCAATAATAAAATAAGTTATGGCCAAATGTAAAGCTCCAAAAAATTCCATGTTCCGCTCTATATTAGTTGGGGCAAAAGCCAACTCACAAAAATATTTAGGTCACCTCATGAGAACTCCTACTGGACTTGCCTTCATAACTTTATAATTTATTTAAATTTTAATTTTAAATAAAATATATTTTTACATGTCGGGAGTAACGCAGGTAACAGCGAAGTTCTCCAAATGGCAAACAAAATTTAAAAGGCCTAAACTTAATTTTAATCTACTAAATTGTATCAGAAATTTGCATCTTGATAGTCTAGATTTTTTGAAAAAACACTCAACTCGGTCCTTTATCATAACTTAATTTTTATGCTATTAATTAACTGCTCCTTAAAATGTATTCATTTAAAATCTAATTAAGGAGTATGAATTATCTCTATGAACAATATATCTTAATTTAAATAAAGTTTTTCAAAATGTTTGAATCAATTTAGATAATGTGGTGATGGGCTTCTTTCTATTTTTTTGGATGCTAAGCAAGACTTAAGCAAATATGTATTTGTGTATCTCTCTAAATCTTATAATTTCAGAGAAAGTCTTGATAATCGGAAATCATGAGCATTAATTGACTGCTCACTTATATAGGCATATACATATTAGTTCGAAAATAAAGTAAATGTTTTATGAATTTACCTTTGGCAAATACCATTCCCGGCCAGACTTGCGCAAATCGTTTTATTTCGTTGTTTCATTATTTTGGTTATTGTTTTGTTAGCTTACTCTAAAAATTAAAAGAAATTACTTATTATTTTCATGCTATGGAAAAATTGATATGAAATTACTAAATACCACAAAAATGTCTATGGACCTTAATTTTCTATCTCACAAAGCTAGAAGAGTAACCTACATACATGTAGTAATCAGAGATGTCAAAGTTCCATTTCCAGTTCCGGAACTAGCAGTTCTAGTTCCAGTTCCATAACTAAATGCCTATAGGACCTCAATTTATAGGACCTCAATTTATACTAGCTTTGGAACTAATTCTGGGACTGGTTCTTGGGGATATATTTTTGATAAAATTTCCTCGACACAGTCTACGGGATCTTTATATTGTTGTAAATGTTTTGTTTAGTTTCGTTTCGCTAACAAAAATTCTATGTATTAAGAGAGATATCTGGAGAATAAAAAAAAGATCTAAGGACGGTATATATATTAGATGGTCACATTCAACTTGCAAAATTAAAAATCCAAAATCTAATAAATTTTTGCATCAATTAAAGAATTATTATAGTCTACTTCATGTCATAACTATGTCAAATCTTGTCCGATTTCGTAGATTTTGGTGTCATTCGACTCATCTCGACGAGTTCTATAACACAAGATTGACTGACCATTTTTTAACACTTTGAGGAAGGAAAAAGGAGTGGGGGGTACGAACCGAAGAATTACCCGAAGTTTTAGTCTGTTTTGGTCAGTCTACTTCTTTTCATTAGACCGTAGATAGTAGACCCCTCAATTATAAAATTTTTGTCAACTTAAAAGCGACATCCAAAAATAAACCAATGCGAAAAAATGCTACGTTATATGTGTATTATTCGTTTAAATTTAAGTAAAGTAAAGAATAAAAACGTTGATTCGGAGCAAAATGTAAGAGGATTTTCCTCTTTAGGAAACCTCATTGCGAATAAGAAAAAACACCTTAGTGTTGAAAAACTAAAATGTCAAAATATCATTGGCATCTGAGGTCTCGATGATTGGAGTATATTAGAACTTTCTTATTCCAATACTCATAGTAATTGTTTATTTTTATACTTTGTGATTTACTCAAAGTTAAAAAATTTTAAATTCTATAGAAAATCATATGATTTTATAAATTAGTCAATACTTGAAGGAACCCAAAAAATTAAAGTTATATAAAAATTTTTAGTTGAAGAAGCGTTATTTTAAAAATTAGCTGTGCAAATTCTCTCTCATTTTATATTTTAAACACTAGCTGTCTTTAATTATAGAGGTGTTGGATATCATGTGGGTTCTGAGTGCTTGACTGGCAATAAAAATTAAAATCAATTAATATAATACTGTTGTTAGACATAGGTAAATTAATGTAAATATTTGCGGATAATTCTTGCGGACTAGAATCATTAAAGTAAATAAAGTGGTATAAAGCGAGATTCACAAATGGCTAAATGTGCTATATAAATTTTAAGATTAAAGTGCTTAGTTTGACATAGCAGCTCATTAAATTTTACACTTGGTGTCTTCAATTTCAAAATCTTTAAAATTCAGTCACCCTTTTATTTCGTAATTGGTTTTGACGTTGATGTACAGTTGTTACCACTTGAACATTTGTAACAACACTTGAGCTAGGGTATATTAAAGGCATCCTCTGTAAAAGCTTTGCTATCGAAGGAAATTCTTTGTTAAGAGCAGTACGATATTCTGAGCTGAAATTTTAACAAAATTATTTATTTTTAAATTTTAATATTTTTATTTACCTGCAGAAATACAAAACTGGGGCGTTGATTGCACCCGAGATCGTTACAAGCTGAGTAAAAAGACGAGCATAGAAAAATGACATCTCTGGATCATTTGTTATTAAGGGAATTATAAATTGACTACAAAACACTCCAGCGAAAAAGAAGAAAACTATAACGAATAAGATAACTACAAGTGATTTATATATCCGTTGTGTTTGAAGACGTTGAAAGTCATTATCTCCACTTTGCCATACTGAAATAACAAATGATTTAATATTGTAAGGAAGAGAAAAAGAGAAAGATCCAGCTGGGTAGCATTTAAAACGCTGACTGCGGGTGTTTAAGATCTATTAAAAGAGAAGGTGAAAGCGCGTCCCGGTACCTCAGTTGGTAGAGCATCTGTACGTGGTGAGCGAAAGCGCCTAGCAATAACTGCCAGGAGGTTATTGCTAGCCTGCCCGGGATTAAACTTTTACCTCGCTCTTACTATATTATCAATTTAGTCATTTGGTTTTTTTTAGTCTCAATGATTACATTGGAATGAATCATCAAAAATATGTAGACAGTTGTGTAGTAGTGTAGAGCTAGTATAAAAGCCAGTGTAAGCGTCAGTCTAGTTGGATCATACTAGCGGGGATAGTCACTGATCTCTTTTGTCTGTTCCAGCTCTTCCATCCCTTCGCCTACACATTGTTTTATTTTTACATTTGATAAACAGTTATTATTGTGCTCATCTACTTTAGGCAAACCTCGGACGTGGTATATCAGATTTTAACAACCTATGTACAATGATCTAGTTTTAATTAAACATACATACATTTGATAATGATCCCAATAACAATATAATTAAATACAGTAACCATAGTAATCACAATCGAGAAGTAATAAGCAAAACTAAGTACATTGCCTCCAATTTGTTCTGGAGCAGCGCAATAAACTTTTCTATATTACATAAGAGGTTGAAAATTTTTTATAATAACGTACATATCTGAGTGTTCAAGAGCATAATTAAAGCCAAAAATCATTAAAATAAAACAGTAACTCAAAGATATAATATTAAGAACAATTACGTATTTAACGGCTCCTTTCTTCAGAACAAAGCGGTAACTAGAAATTAAAATACATATTACCATGTTTATTTAATTATTTTTTAAATTTAGATGGTTTAGTTGGATACGAAAGAATTTTTTAGAAAATTCCAGTATTATGCCCAAATATGCCAGTATTTTTCTATATTCTTATTTTAACAATGAAACATTTTAATATATTTCCATGTTATGCCTATTTTTTCGTTATTTCAATATTTGGCATTTTTCTACTCATTCTTTAGTTATCTTTAACACTCTTGGTGCTTAAAATGTCTCGCTTAGGTATCTTGAAAAGTTAAAAAGTTTTTCCTAGTCCCTGTATATGCTTGTTTTATTTCCCTCATTTTCAGTGCTCTTCGGAGACTCACTTGACCTTAATTTGTATGTTTGATGAAAAAAATATATTTAGTTAAAGCCTCAATTTATTAAGACTTTGGGGTTTACAAATTAAAGGTTTTTTAATTAAAGGTTTATGTTTCGTCCGCACTTCAAGAAAAAATATGGTTCTACTTGACTTTATGAGTCCAATCGAACTTTATGAGTCCAATCGAAGTTTATGATTCCAATCACAGTTTCCAAGTCCAATCAGATTTTTGTGAGCTACGAGGGTAGGTCGTCAGATCAAAGCTGGTGATGAAAAACGGGATAGGTTTATGTTGCCGACCCAGAACCCAGCGACCGTTGACTCCCGCGAGGCGCGTGCTGCAAAACCCCGCGCGAAGCGCGGGGTTTTGCACAAGCGTCTCTCCTATACTCCATAGGTCAACAACATAACCCTTTTCATTTTTATTGTATTATTTAATAAATGTATTATTTAATAAAATCTAATAAAATGTGATTGGACTCATAAAGTTTTATTTGGACTCATAAATTTCAATTGGACTCAGAAAGTTCGATTGGACTCATAAAGTTCGATTGGACTCATAAAGTTCGATTGGACTCATAAAGTCAAGTAGAACCAAAAATATACCATTATGCGGTTAATGGGGACACAGTCGACTGTGCTCTGGTTTGGGCCCTTTCATGATTTATACCTCCTATCCCATATAATTTCTCGAGTTTTTAATTGAGACTTACAAAATTGGAAAAAGCAGAGAAACAATGCGATCTACGCTAATGAACAACATATTAAAGTTGGAATTTGCCGCAACGACTATACTTTGCCAGCTTGTAGCAAAAGAACAATATGTAATAGGAATCTTTGTGTGAATTAACACTAGTAATGTTGGCAAAAATTTTCCAGACTCGAGAATTGCATCACAAAGACAATTAATAGAAAGAAGTAATCCATAACTTGTTTGAAGATTTCTGGAATTTTTATAATTTTAATTTATATCATTTACCCCTTCTAAAAGAATTACTTGTGTTTGTAAGTCACCCAAACAACTGTTAAATTAAGAATAAGTCCAACAATTGCAATCAACTGTTGGATAATTACTATTAAAAGATCGTGAGAATAATTTTCATCCATTATAGTGTCAATTTAATTATGCTAAGGATCACTCTCACGATTAATCAATTTCCCGGAAGAGTGATTGTGATTGATCAACCGAGAGAATATCAGCCTGAAGTATTCAACATAGAAATTAATCAACTTGGTGTTGGAAAATCATTTTTTATCAATTTGATATCAGTTATAGTTAAGATTTTTCTTTAAGTTTTTTTAGTTTGGTTGATTAAAGTTCAGAAAAATCTTGTCGACAAAAATTCCGGAACCCCCGATATGTGATAGTTCCCTCATGAAATTGGGTATACACGGGTATACCTAATGTTACATCACAAGACAATAATCTGAAATAGATTCTCTAGTTAACATTATCTTAAAATGAAATAACAAATTGGAAAATCTAGATGTTAAACATCCCGGACTAATCCGAGCTCTCTCTATTATTTAAACTAAAAAAGAATGTTAATAATATAGTAGACTTGATAGACTGTTTTTAGTTTCATAGTGTAAATGTCTAGTTTATTAATTAAACGACACATTAATTAAATAGAAAAAACCACCTATAAGTTGCCTAGTTTCAAAATACAAATTTTTGTATTCTACCCGTAACTCTTGACAACCTCATCATTTATGTTTAAACTAAGGGAATTTGTAAATCTAGATTTTAAACATCCCGTACTAATCAAAGCTTAGTCATGTTATAGTCTTGAGTTCTATGACCAGGGCTCCGATTCATACTTTTTTAAAAGTATTCTAATTTTAAATCGACCTCCATACTTACGAAATTGAATTTGTACTTTTTTGAAAGTATCTACTTTTTTTGGATTGAAAATGAAACTGGGGGAGGGATTGGGCAAAGAAGTGAATTTTTTGGCCTACGGCCCTCCAAAATTCTCAAAATTTTCGCCTGCGGCGCAAAAAATGGATTTTCTGGCGCCTTCGGCGCTACAAAAAAGTGCATTGAAGTGCACAAAATGCTCAGTGGAATCAAGAAATTATTAGAAAAGATTCATTTAGGAGAAAAATATAAAAGATATGAGGACGAATAAATATTTTCTAATTTAATTTTGAGACTACTTTTTATTCGCAAATTTTCTCCCTATATACTTTTTAATCAAGATTTTGATACTTTTTAGTAGAGCTCGAACTTTTCACTTTGCCGGGCCCGGTATCCGGGTTTTTTTCTTCCGCCCGACCCGGGACCTAGGATGGATTAATAGGGATTTTGAGGTATATAGGGAAAAAATATTAATAAGATTTACATAAAAATCTTTACGTAATAGATAACAGTAATATCTGTGATTCAAGTGATATCTGAGGAGACAACCTTCTGATCCTACGATAACACGCCCAAATAAGGATATGAGCGGATTCGAAGGGATATCGGAAAAAAGTAGAGGATATATGTGATTAATACTGATAAATTCATAGATATCTTTTATCCCTTAAATACCTCGATGTCTGGAAGGATATCGTATTAAGAAAGATTTGGAAGGATAAGAGGGTTTGGAAGGATAAGGAATTTTGGAGGAACAACCTAGCTGATTTCTTACTTTTTAGCACCGCAGGCAAAAATTTTGAGAATTTAGGATGTTTAGGGAGATATATTTGCCAAAAAGTCAGAATTTTATTTAAAATTTATTCAAACTTGGACCCGGGCCGGGTTTTTAGAACAATACCCGGGCCGGGTTTTCCGGGCTAAAACCCCGAAAAACCGGATTTACTCAAAAATACACGGTTCGGGGCCACCGGGCCCGGAAAACCCGGTCCCGGGCCCGGCCCGGGTTCGAGCTCTACTTTTGAGTGGCATTTTGTTGATCGGAGGCCTGGTATAATCATTAGAACTTGATTATAAATTTTATATTTATTTATCTAGATTAAATACATTATCTCGGTTTGTGTGCGAGTTTCGCCTTTCGCCGATTTTCGCCTTTTTTGGACTTTCGTCTTTCGTCGTTCGCTTTTTAAATTGACTTTCGGCACACCCCTGGTTTGTAACGTCCATAATGGAGGGCAATTGTTTTCAGGTAAATTAAGATAAGAATTTGAGTAATTTGAAAGTATTAATTTTTAAATAAACTTGAAAATTAAAATGATCTATAATATTTGGATTTATGATAGATACGTTTGCTATGTAATTTTTTGGAAGCTGGCAATGCCAGTTAAAAATAAGAAGTTTCTCGATTTAATTGAAAAAATACACTTGTTAATGTGACGCATTTATTCCATCCTATTTATATGCCCCTTTTTACGACAAATTATATAAGCTATAACTAAGCTCTTCGGGTTTAATCGAATGACATCAAGATTGGCTATTTTTGATGATTCTGGAAGAAAGCGATGCTGAAACTTCGTTTGCAAGGGATTACACCAAATGTTAGTAAATTATTTCAGTGAATGAAAGTTCGTTGATTGTGAAATTCTTGGACCTTTTGTTGTCGACGTTTGCTCTTTCCCAGCTTCCAAGTTGGACTCGTTGGTAGTTAACAATATAATTTGTCATAAAAAATCTTTGGTTAATTAAGTTTAAGGTTTTGGTCTGATTTTTGCAACTCTTGTCTTAGTACCCTCATGTACCCTCAAGTTTTTGTAGATTGTCCTTCCGTAGCTCCTTCCGTAAACTTTAACGTCTCAATTCCTTGAATTTGATTATAAAAATTAATATTTATTTTAATTATTTACAGGGTGGCAAAAGTTCCCGTACTTTTATTAAGCAAGGAATTTATTTCAAATATTTTTTTAAATTTTATAAAATTTATGAAAAAGGACATGAATAAGCAAGAAAAAATTAGAACAAATGTTCAAATTGTCCACTCTCCGGCAAAATATACGCGTCCAAACGCTTACTAATGTTGTCAACTATGCGCACAATGTACCTAAAGTTCGTTTTTATTGAAAAATTAATATCTTGCAACCCTAATATACATTTATGATTTAAAGACATTTGTTAAATATTGACTTGAAGTAAGTCTGATACTAACGGAAAAGACTTTTAGCATTATTATGACTATTCAAATCACTTTTTTGAATCATACAAATCCAGATCCACTTTGGAATCGATCGATCCTAATTCCAGGGAAACCTCTGACAAACAACTTCACTCTTACTGTAAATTAAAATTTATGTTTAGTTGGACTTTCCAACTTACAAAAATATTAGGACTATGGTCAACTCAAACAACTCAAATTAGCTCATAATTAGCTCTGGCATATTTGGCTTAAATCTTTCTTTAAATATATTTTATTTTGAATAAAATTTGATTAAGGTGTTTGAATTCGTTTACATAATGCGGAGCTTTGATTTGTTCTTTGTATTTTTGGATGCTAAGCAAGACTTAAGCAAATGTTTGTTTCTATTGAGATTTTCAAAAAATTGTCAAAATTTTCGCGTGCGGCGGTAAAAACTGAAGAAATATTATGCAAATCAACAAATGTAAAGACTTTTTTGTGGATTTTCGATAAAAATTGCAAATTATTAAAAATCGAGTTAGGAGCCCTTCCTTATACTCTAATACATTTTTTCGTTTTTAAATTAAAATATTTTTTGGATTACTGTCCTCGGGTACGTTGGGGCGTGTTGTGTTTATTTTTGGATGTCGCTTTATATGCTGACAAAAAATAATGAGTTAACAATTATTTGGTTCGGTTCCTATATCCAAAATTTTGGTTAGTATATCGGTCCTATATTCGCATCACAAGAAAACGAAGTATTTCTAACTTCATGGCATTCTTAAATTCCAAAAATTTTTGTCTGCGGCGTTGAAAAGGTAAAACGTAATATATCAGAGGATTAGTATAGTTTAATGTAGACCTTGAATGATATCGAGAAATTTAAAGGGGGCAAACTGAATATAAAGGGATTTGGAGATGATATCGATCACGTGATTGAGCGATGTAGTAGGTCATGTAGTGGGTCATGTAGTAGGTCAACCAGTAGGTCATTTGATTGATCACTCTTTTTGTTTATCATTCTCTAGGTTGATCACTCTCCACTCTTCCACAAGCATACATAAAATGATGTTGACTTCAGTTTAATTAGGTTTTAATTAAATAATTGCAATTCATAAATTTTCTTTGGACAAAGTTTTGGTCGAAAGAAATTTTGGTCGGACAATGTTTTGTCTGAACAAAGTTTTAGTCTGTTTTGGTCAGTCGACTTCTTTTCATTAGACCGTAGATAGACCGCTCAATTATAAAATTTTTGTCAACTTAAAAGCGACATCCAAAAATAAACCAACGCGAAAAAAATGGTAACATGAAACTAACTTACGCATAATATTTAAGTTAATACTAATTAACTAAACTACACTATGTAAATTTCCTGGCTTTTATACACTGCTCCACATAACTATAAGTTCACCCTAAATTTTCATTTTTCTTAGATTCTATCAAGTCAATCGTGCTGATTTTTATTTTATATTTATTAAAACGGGTAGCAATTCATATAAACCCGAGAAATCGAAAAAATTCACATTTAAAAATTTTTTATCCAGTTTTTTCAAAAAACACCCTCCACATAACTATAAGTTCACCTACAGAAATCACATAAGGAATGCTCGAAAAATTCTACAAAAATTCATGTAAACATTTTCATCCATAATAAGTAAAAAATAAAAAAGAACGAAGTCTGTAAGTGCTTTTTTCATCGAGATCCAAAATCTCGAAAATCAACGGGAAATGGAGGTTACAGTACTTAAAAAATATTTTCACAAGTGTAGACTGTAGATAAAATTTTTTATTTTAGTTCATCTGAAAGCCAATAAAATTTACTACAAAAAACTTAGTCCTATCTTAGGGAAAAAATTTATCGCTGAGGAGACACCGGTTAAATTTAGAAACTCGAATTAATGGCATTTTGTGGGGTGATTTGGGAGAATTTATTCATCATCTCATTTAACCAAAGGCTCCTCGAAGGTAGAATTTTTGTCCTGGATAGAAACTAGTGGATTTTGTAGTAAATTTTATTGGCTTTCAGATGAACTAAAATAAAAAATTTTATCTACAGTCTACACTTGTGAAAATATT